TTGGTCTTCCATGATGTATCCTAGGGAAAGAGAGAGGTACTTGCAAAAGACATTCTAATACTTAAGTCAGTCCTCGGTCTCAAAGATACCAATGCTAATCAAATTAATAATTATAAAAATGTACCTTTGTTTGTTACTAGTCACACTTATTCATACTAATCTTGGTGGGCCCATATTCATATACAGACCCATAAAAAAATTTATTAACGATACGAGAAATCTTCAGTGTGATCACGCGAGGAGTTATAAATTCTTATGTTATAGATTCTTCTAAGATCCTTTCCGTAATATTTATACTATTATCTGGTATAGTACTATATATCAATCTCAACAATGTAATTTACACAGTGTTAGTGGGTTAAGGATTTATACACTACAACACATTCCAACCTTCCAAATTCCTCCTTAACCATCTTTTTCCGTTAAAGCTAAGCTTTATCACCTTCTACCTTTTAATCTTAAATACATTTCATTAATAGATATTCTCTTATGCCTCTATTTTTTAAACTTTAACCAAATCAAAAAGGTTTGTTTTTTTTTACTTTTCATAAAGTTTAAAATCTATATAACAAATCAGTCTTTTGAAATTCAAAAGTGAATTCGCTGGGACACTAATAAGCTATATATATGTTTTGAATCCTCAAATACATATATAGTTATAAATAATATTTTTTTTAACCTCTAAAATCGCTTTCAAAAGAATTTGTTTTAAATAATAATATTATGATTTATGCATTATAGTGTGAATCTAGATAGCTCTTAAATTTAAATTTTGTTAATGTTATTGCAATTTTGATATATGAAAAAAAAATTGCATGTAATTCGATTGTCGAGTTAAGATTGTTAATTTTGTTTTAGCATCCTCCAAAGGCATCGAATAAGAAAAAATTTGTTTTGCCTACTATAGGCCATATTTTTTATTTGAGGGATTTAAATTATTTGAAAAATATTATAATTTGATTTGTTATTTTTATAAATAATTATAAAACTGTCGCATATTTTTATTTTATTTTTTTATTTGTATATGAAATAACAGAAATTAAATATTAAAAAACAAGGTGAAATGAAAACTGAAAAAATCATATTTTTATTATTTCCTGTGAAAAAGGTTTGAAAATAAAAAATACGATTAAAAAAGTGTTGATTTTATGACTATTTATAAAAATCTAAAATAAAGTTTTTTTTTTTTTAATGAATCAAATATACCTTGTGGTTGAATGTCTTCTTTCTCGGGTTGTGATCAGCATTTAAAAGGAAAGCTAAAACATACACCAAACTGATGGGAGATATGAATTTTCAACTATTCCCTTGTTTTTGACCAGAATTTAACTTAAATAAACAATTTTTTGTGTACATCAAATAAATAAATAAATAAATAAATGTTTTAGAAAAACGAAAATTCGTGTATTATATCCAAAATTGAATACTACATCCCTCTCATAGACAAAGCGGTGGGTTATATGAATGCAAAATAGAGCTCAGACTCTTTCCTGAGTTGAAGTAGCTGTGACCAATAAATGAAATAATATCACCATAAATGCTCTTTCTTTGAATGATGTAACATATATGAATATGAGCAGTGATGACGAGTGCAAGCTTAGTTCAAAATTAACACTACCCTTATAATCAACTCCGAATTTTTGTACATTAAACGTCAACCATTATATTATAGTATATAAATGTTTTCAAGACTTATTTTTTATAGACATGTACAGGCAGTACAACACATTAGATATAAGTATAATTTTGTTTTTGTACTGACAATTAATCAAAATCAAATTCATTATAGAAAATTATAATTACTACTTTTGGACAAAACATTATCATATTTCACCTATTATTCATCTATCTCAATTCTCAAGTAGTTGTACTGTATTAATTCCGATAAATGATCATTTTATCCAAAAGGAATCTTCAACTATTCTGGTGGGTGTTAGTAAGTGTGCTCTCTTTTAAATATAAAAAAGTAAGAATGCATTGAGTACATAAAAACAATTGGTTACATGGCTCTAATTAATATGCCCATAAAAAATCTAAGATCCAGCTCTTAAATCAGCTTATCTACTATCTAAAGAAACATATTGGGTAATTAGTATTTTCTTTTTTTATTATTTAACTTATTCAACTTATTTTCTCTATTTTAAAATATTTAATTTAATCCTATTAAATTTATAAAAATAAATATTTAATATTATTCTTCTAATACTAACACCATTATATTGGTGAAAGAGAAAGAGAAAAACAAATTTTTTATCGTAGTTTTTGATGAGGTTATTTTATTGGTATTTGTCTGAGGGGTTATTGTTATAAGGTTATTACACGAGCATACTTCAAAATGATGAGATATTTTCATTTTGGGCCTTAGCCCTCACGATTTTGCTTTTGGTCATTACCCAAAAGACCTCTCAATCATTGAAATATGTTTGTACTATATAAGTTGTTATTTGTTGTCTTATTTAATTAATGTGAGACTTGTTTATATCCCAACAGTTTCGTCTCACAACTTAATATTACATTTAATTTTTTTTTTACAAGAAGATTACATTGTCTTTGACAAAAACCAAAACTTTTACTAAAAGAACACATATTTACATGAACCACATTCCAAAATACAAACAAGTATTCTTTAAATCTTATCTCTTAAAAAAATTTATCAAGTTTTTTTTCTTACTTCTTCGTAGTAAGTCAAACTTTACAAGTATAAAAGAAGATAATAAATGATAATCTAACAATACTTAAGAGTATTTACAAGATTCACAAAGAATAAACTTTCATATATTTTTTGGATATACCAAATGACTTGTATATTTTTTAAGCTTTGACATCTTCAGAGTGTTTTTATTCGATAAACCATACAATAGATGAAACGATTTATATTAGACAAAACTTCAATAAATCACATCAAGTGGTCTTTTACTTAGATAATAAAAACAAGCATACAAACTTGTAAGATATTAACTTCAATGCAACACATGCATTCTTATACCTTCATTATTATCATTAAAAGTATTAAATAGTCACACACATAACATTAGTTGATCTCCACCTCATTGCACTAGTGTAAAACGAATTCTATTTTAATTTGCCCTTTTTTCGTTTTCTTTTGCAAACACATTAAATTGGAACCAAGATTGTATGCAGTTAAAAGCAACTACAGGGTGGTGCAGTCATGATCCGACAGTCATTCTAATTTCTATCTCATTTGTTTATTAAATTTTCAGAAAAACATATAAATAGTTTGCACATTTTGAAACTTTAGAACAAGATAGAACTAAGAATCAAAAAGGGAAAAACGTAATTGTGAAGTCTTTGTGACATTCTTGGAGAGTTTTCTTTGTGAAACCAAGAAGAAAAACGTTTTTGAAATGCTTTGAGAAAAGATCATCATCATAATCACATTCTTGAAAAGAGAAGGATTAAGATTTTCTTCTAAATTTCAGGTGAATTCGTTCCTTTAATTCTTTGTGAATATTTGTAAATCTTGAGTGGGTTTCTCAAGTGGTAAGGAATTTTTGTAGTGGGTTTCTACAAGGGGTGCTTTCTTGGGGTCAAGAAAGTGGTTATCTTGAATGTAGGAGTGTATGCATGTGTGGTATGCTTGTAAAACTTCTTCATTAAGATAGTGGAACAATTCTTGATCAGATTATGATTGAGGACTGATGTAGGTCACATGTGGAGTGGCTGAACCAAGATAAAAGACAATCATTGAAATATGTTTGTACTATATAAGTTGTTATTTGTTGTCTTATTTAATTAATGTGAGACTTGTTTATATCCCAACAGTTTCGTCTCACAACTTAATATTACATTTAATTTTTTTTTTACAAGAAGATTACATTGTCTTTGACAAAAACCAAAACTTTTACTAAAAGAACACATATTTACATGAACCACATTCCAAAATACAAACAAGTATTCTTTAAATCTTATCTCTTAAAAAAATTTATCAAGTTTTTTTTCTTACTTCTTCGTAGTAAGTCAAACTTTACAAGTATAAAAGAAGATAATAAATGATAATCTAACAATACTTAAGAGTATTTACAAGATTCACAAAGAATAAACTTTCATATATTTTTTGGATATACCAAATGACTTGTATATTTTTTAAGCTTTGACATCTTCAGAGTGTTTTTATTCGATAAACCATACAATAGATGAAACGATTTATATTAGACAAAACTTCAATAAATCACATCAAGTGGTCTTTTACTTAGATAATAAAAACAAGCATACAAACTTGTAAGATATTAACTTCAATGCAACACATGCATTCTTATACCTTCATTATTATCATTAAAAGTATTAAATAGTCACACACATAACATTAGTTGATCTCCACCTCATTGCACTAGTGTAAAACGAATTCTATTTTAATTTGCCCTTTTTTCGTTTTCTTTTGCAAACACATTAAATTGGAACCAAGATTGTATGCAGTTAAAAGCAACTACAGGGTGGTGCAGTCATGATCCGACAGTCATTCTAATTTCTATCTCATTTGTTTATTAAATTTTCAATTATATAGTATAAAATCAAGAGTTAAGATTTTACGCAAATGAAAAACTTAACGGGGGAATGTCCATTTCCATTGAATAAGAATTGAACGTGTTAAATTTTATTTTAAATTAAAATATTCTTTAATTGAATAACTCTCCTAAAAATCTATTTAAAGGGTCGACATCTTCCAATAAATGAATGTGTTC